TGCCAGGTTTGAATTTCCTATTTCATATATCTACTTTCATTACATTCTTGACCGTGAAGAACCTAAAGAATAATTTAGTTAAATTTCCAACGTAAATAGAAGAAAATATGCCTTACTACTTTATTGAAAAATGAAGAGCATGATTTTTTTTGTTTAGGAATTGCTGCTAAAGCAGGAAATCAAATCATTTGTATTAAATTTATTTGAATATAACTTAAAAGAGTGTTGAACATATAGTTTCTAGGAAATATGTGTAACATGCATCATCGGTCTCCACATAAAATCAACTAGTCAGACAATCTACCAATCTTCACATTCATCCTTTCAGCATTACGGAGGTCCACATGGGAAAGAAAGAATCACCGTCTAAGAGACCATCCCCTATATCAATACGAAAAAAAGTTCAAATTCTCTCTTCCTCACAATTCCATCAATTTGGTTTAGAATATTAAATATCAAAATTATCTATATCAATTTTTGCAAAGAGATTAGCATGAGAATAGACCTAGAATTATTAAACTCCGTCAAAATTAGCAAAAAATGAGATAAGAAGAGACAGAAATAAAAATAAAAAAAATAAATAAATAAATAAATAAATGTAGGGAAGAATCTCCGAGTCTGACCCTTTCTTAAAGTATTTGAGGTGAGTATGTCTACTAGTCGATAACTTTAAGTTATTTTTCAGCCAAAAATGGATTTAGTTAATACGGTTAGAAGAGTTGATCATATATTATGTATTAACTCAATCTCAAAAACTCACCTAGGATGAATTGGACTTAGACAAGCAGATTTAACCTAGTTTCGAGGATAACTGTAACTCGACATTGGAGTACCAACTAAGTGGTTTCACTACTAGCTTGATTGGATGAATGGTTTGATGCATGGACAACGTGTGTGTTGTGGCCCTGCACGTGTTGTGCCATGGGGGGATCTATCCTTTTAACATATCACAACATGGCCTTAAACAGTTTTTTTAGTCCGGGCAAGATTGGATGTGCAGTACTTCTCTTCACATGACCCATGTATGTGAGCATGGACCCACCAGGTGGGTTCGAAAACCCCCGGGATCTGGCTCGACGGGCTAGCAATCGCTAACAAGCTCATGTTAAATAGCAGAGAGAGAAATGGTCTGCATAACACAACGCACATAAATATCGAAAATCATAAGTCGTAATGTAAGTATCCCGATGCACGACACAATAATATGCATGAGTTCCTCATAGCATAATCTACCTCATATACACATGACACACTAAAGGTTGAGAGATTTTTGGAATAAATTGTCTGACGTCTATTTTAAATACCCCTCCACCCTACCTAAGTTTTCATCCCAAGAAATATAAAGCAGTAGTATTCTACAAGGTTTCTTGTAATCTCTTCTCGATTTGTGTTAAGAAAGAGTTCGAGTGTTCTCACAGAGAATACTATTGAATAATCTGGTATCAGAGCGAGGTTAGTGTAGGTTGTATGATCCCTTGAAATTCTTAGTATGCTCTATGGTTGCAGCTCTGTCTTAACTTTCACATCAGAAACGATTTCTTGAGATTATTAGTGAGTGAGTTTATTTTGTGTCCTGAGCAGTCTGTGACTCTGCAAGTTTTGTGTCGAAAGAGCCTTTTTGGTATTAGTTAGGTATTGCCAACACGATGGGCGATTTCCAAATCGTTGGAGGAATCAAGAAACTCAACAACAACAACTAAAACACGTGGGCAACATGCATGATGTCCTATTTACAAGGACGTGATCTATGGGAGATCGTTGGCGGGAGTAAAACTACGCCGCTTGAGGAGGATCCTAACGGCGCCTTGCGCAAATGGAGAATCAATGCAGGCAAAGCAATGTTTTCCTTGAAGACCACAATCGAAGAAGAGATGTTAGATCATATTTGGGATGACAAGACACCGAAAGAAGCATGTAACACGTTTGTGATGTTGTTCCCAAAGAAGAACGATACGAGGCTACAAATGCTGGAGATCGAGCTATTATCAATTTCACTGTGTGACATGAAAATTGCTCAGTATTTCCACAAAGTGAACTCGATCTGCCAGAAGATTACTGAACTAGACCCGAAGTCTGCAATTGGAGAAGATCGAATGAAGAGGATCATCATCCATGGATTGCGGTTAGAATATAGACGCTTCATTATTGCTGTTCTAGGATGACCCACTCAACCATCATTTGTAAAGTTTGAAAATTTGTTAGCGAGCCCATGGCTAAACAAACAGGAGACATCACATTGAAGGGTGAAGAAGAAGCACTCTACACAAGTGAAAGTCGAAACAATATAAGCCATCTACTAAACATGGATACAAAAACAGTGACAAAAGAAGAAGTCATCAAGGAACTGCACAGCCTGAGAGAGCTCAGAAGAATGACAACAAAAGTACGAAAGAGATTTAAAGGTATTTTCTACAATTGCGGGTCGAAGGGCCACATATTAAGAGATTGTTGGTCAAAGAAAACAAATCTGTCGAAAGCAATGTGGCATCCTCCGACATGGAGATGGAAGAGGAAGGTACTACATGTCCTACAGTGCATAAGAGTGCAACTCTAGGTCTACGGTGGAGTGATCTATAGTTACTGTATGGAAATTGATTAATTAAAGAGTTTAATTAATTAATTAATTTTGTATCATTGGAGCTTATAATATGTATGTCTATAATGTCTCCTTGCTAGCTCATAGTAACGCGCTAAAAGGTTCAATTTATTTGAAAGAAAATTTGAAGTGTTCAAATTGATATTTAATATAGCATATATATTAAATATAAATGAGAAAATAAATGTAATTTGAAATGTCAAATTAGTATTAATATATTAGATATATTAAATAAATAGAGAAAATATATTTAATTAGAAGGTTCAAATTAATACTTAATATATTAGATATGTTAAATATAAATAGAGAAAAATATATTAATTTGACCATTTGAATGGTGAAATTAATATTTAATATATTAGATATATTAATAGGAAAATATATTTATTGTATTAGATACAATTAAATATTAAATCAATTAATGAATTTTGATATATTAAATAAAAATATATTTGAAATTGGAATGAGATTCAAATTAATTAAGTATATATTAGGATATCTTATAATATCTAAATATGATTTGTATGAGGTATTATATCTTAATATATTAAATATGCAAATATATCATTTGGCAAATATTCTCCAAGAGTCTCTATAAATAGGACCCTCGGGTTGAGCCAAAGACACACAATCTCTCCCACGTTCTCTTGAGAATGAAATTACATCTCCAGAGAATTCTCGAAACAAATTTGTTGATGATCGTTGGGGATGATTGGAGATCATATTGATTATGAGAATGACCGGATCGTTGATGCAGGATGCTCAAACCATATGATTGGCGATCAGAGAAAATTGCAAGACAAGAAAGAGTACAAACGAAGTCGTAAGGAAAGCACAACAAATAACACAGTTGTCAATTGCTAAAATCGGTAATACGACAATCATGCCTGGTAATAAATCTAATCCAGTGTTACATAATGTTTATCATGTACCGGATATAAAGAAAAACTTGTTGTCAGTGAAACAACTAACAACATTAGAAAACTACGTCTTGTTTGGGCCAGAAGATGTGAAAGTCTATAAAGATGTTAAGATAATAGGAAAGCTGACAATAGAAGGGCGAAGAGTGGAGTCCGTTTACGTCCTATCTACAGAGTCTGCCTATGTTGACAACACCCGGAAGAATGAGACAACAGATCTATGGCATGCAAGATTGGGACATGTTGGCTACCACAAGTTGAAGCTTATTATGGAGAAATTCATGCTCAAAGGTCTAGCTCAACTTGAAGTCAAAGCAGACGTTGTTTGCGCTGGATGTGAATATGGTAAAACTCATCAATTAGCATACGAAGAGCTAAAATTCAAAGCAACGAAACCATTAGAGTTAATTCACTCTGATTTGTTCGGTCTAGTCAAACAAGCATCAATCAGTGGAATGCGGTATATGGTGACGTTCATTGACGACTACTCAAGATATCGGTAGATTTTCTTTAAGAACGAAAAGTCTGACACGTTTTCAAAATTTCAAGAATTCAAGATGATGATCGAAGGAGAAGTAGGAGTGAAGATTTGTTGCTTACGTTCAAACAATGACGGAGAATACACGTCAGATGAGTTTGATAAGTATTTTCACGAGTGTGGGATATGACACATTAATATGCATGAATTCCTCGTAGCATAATCTATGATATAAGACAAACCTCCATTTATCTATAACATAGGTGAATTATGCTTTCATAATTCCTGTACGTTCAATCGTATGTAACATAGATTTCATGGCATGGTCTTTGGAGGTTTATACATCATAGATTTTCGATAACATATAACCCTTATACAACACTACATGATCACAAAATAGAATAGCTTATCATAACATAACGTCGCATAACATGACATAAGTTATTAAATGGCACGCGTCATCATACATGCTACAATTCGTCAAACCGAGTCAATAGTAGAACCAATTACTTATTTGGTCTAGGTTGGAGTTACCAATTATTCTTGGTACTAGCTTGAATCTGCTCCTCAATGATCAATTCAACTTTAAATCTATCATCTTGGTTTATAAAGCATACTTCTTTCAGATGCTACTTAAAATGAGGTACAAAATGTATGAGATTGTGATGCTGGAAGAGGATCTAAAGGAGTTCCTAGACTCTAGCTTAAATCGTTTTCTAGATCTTTTGAAATGAACAACCTTAGCATTCAAGGGCATGTTGTGGAATTGACCTGCACCCTCACGAGGTGTCCAATTATATAAGGTGCTCGGTATGAAAAGTATCTAAACACCATTAATTTCTTCTGTGAAGTTTTCTGCTTTGCTAAATTTCCGTGCATCAAATGAACGATTTGAACGCACAACCCATGCAAGAGCAAATTGATCTCCAAGCATTTGTTATGTTTTCATGAATTTTAAACGGTATATCTTCAATAATTTTGGAGGAAAGCCTTAGCCCTTAAAGTTTCATGTCGAATACCTCTCACAGCCATAAACCCTGAATTCAAAGATTGTGTTTGTTGTACCCAAATTCCATAACAAAATGATAGAATACCAATTGTTGTAATAGAAATAGAAATCTACGTAATGCTGGCAACCACCTATGTCAACATATTGATATGATCGTTAGGAGTTTCAATTTTAAATAAACGATTCTCCCTTCATTAACAATTTCTCGAACAAAATGAAATCAGACATGAATATACTTGGTTGACAAACAAACGTAACTCTGGCTATCAAAAAAATATGGAAAACACAATTTAGAAACTAGTAACAAAAATGTCAATTATGGACCTTAAAACTTATTACCAATTAAATTTCAAACCGTTTATTGTTTTTTTCTAACAATAAAATGTTAATTTTAGGGTTTATGGCAAACCGGACCTTAATTTTAATTGAAAAGCAAATTCTATATAAAAAAGGAAGAAATGGAAGTTTAGAGATCATATTTTATAGTAATATGATGTCTAATGTGTTTTTGAGAGTCGGTACTCTCATTTTCTTTGAAGTGCACTTTATAGTCTACGAAACGGATGCTAAAATAGTGGTTGAAGTCGATGTAGACGACACCATTCAAGAAAAGGAATTGACGGACCAAATTGTAAAGCATCCGAAAGGAATATCCATTTCTTCATCTAGATCAAGCCAAAGAACATTATTTCACTTGACCCCTCCTCCACCGGTCGTCCTTAGAATGTTACCGAAAGGCGTACCCATTCCTCCATCTGGGCCGAGTAAAAGGCATAATCACTACCCACTTTCTCTACCGCATGCTTCATCTGTCATTTTAAAAGGTGTATCCGTTCCTCCGCCTGGGCCAAGTCAAAGTATTCTACAAACTGCCTTGTAATCTCTTTTCGATTTGTGTAACATGCATCCGTGGTCTCCAGATAAAATCAACCCTACCTAGGTTTTCATCCCAAGAAATATAAAACAAGAGTATTCTACAAAGTGCCTTGTAATCTCTTAAAGATTTGTGTTAATAAAGAGTGCGAGTGTTTTTCACATAGAATTTTGTTCAACAATATTATGTATTAACTCAATGTCGAAAACTCACCTAGGTTGAATTGGACTTAGAAAAGCAGATTTAAGCTAGTTTCGAGGATAATTTGTAACTCGACATAGTACAACCAATTAATAACTTCACTACTAGCTTGATTGGATGAATAGTTTGATGCATGAACAACGTGTGTGTTGTGAACCTGCACATGTCGTGCCATGAGGGGACCTATCCTTTTAACATATCACAGCATGACATTAGACAGATTGTTAGTTCGGGCAAGATTGGATGTGTAGTACTTCTATGCACATAGCCCATGTATGTGAGCATGGACCCACTAGGTGGGCTCACACACCCCCTGGATCTGGGTCGTCCGGCTAGCACTCGCTAACGAGTTCTTGTTGAATACCACAGAGTGAAAGTCTGCATAACATCATAACGCACATAAACATCAAAAATCATAAATCGTAATGTAAGTATCCCGATGCACATGACACAGTAATATGCATGAGTTCCTCGTAGCATAATCTATGATATAAGACAAACCTACATTTATCTATAACATAATAAATCGGTGAATTATGCTTTCATAATTCCTATACATTCAATAGTATATAACATAGCTTTCATGGCATGGTCTATGGAGGTTTATACATCATAGACTTATTTTAAGTATTGTCATAGCTTTCATAATTGTTGTATGTTCAATAGTATGTAACATAGCTTTCATGGCATGGTCAATAGTAGAACAAATTACTTAGTTGGTCTAGGTTGCAAAATTTCGCATAACATGACATGACTTATTAAATGGCACGCGTCATCATACATACTACAATTTATCAAACCGAGTCAATAGTAGAACCAATTACTTAGTTGGTCTAGGTTGGAGTTACTAATTATTCTTGGTACTAGCTTGAATCTGCTCCTCAACGATCAATTCAATTTTAAATCTTTCATCTTTGTTTATAAACCATACTTCTTTGAGATGCTACTTAAAATGAGGTACAACATGTATGAGATTGGGATGCTGGAAGAGGATCTAAAGAAGTTCATGGATTCTAGCATAAACCGATTTCTGGATCCTTTGAAATGAACCGCCTTAGCATTCAAGGGCATGCTATGGAATTGACCTGCACCCTCAAAAGGTGTCCAATTGTGCAAGGTGCACGTTATGGAAAGTACCTAATCACCATTAATTTCTTCTGTGAAGTTTTCTGCTATGCTAAATTTTCTTGCATCAAATGAGCAATTTGAACTCCTAACCCATGCAAGAGCAAATTGATCTCCAAGCATTCGTAATGTTTTCATGAATTTTAAACGATATATCTTCAATAATTTTGGAGGAAAGCCTTAGCCCTTAAAGTTCCATCTCGAATACCTCTCACAGGCATAAACCCTGAATTCAAAGGTTGTGTTTGTTGTACCCAAATGCCATAACTAAAGTGTTATGATATCAATGGTTGTAGTAGAAACAGAAACAAGATCGATCACACTCACACACCTACGAACATAAATTGAACAAATAGAAACAAAGATTTATGTAGTACGAAAAGAAGAAATTCTCATACATCCACGTGAAGTAGTCAATGACAATAACTAAAGTGTTTACAAGTGTATTCATGAACCAAGTTTTCATGACAATTCTCAACAATCTCCACCTTTAAAGAAGATCTCGAAGTAGATTACCTGCTTTTGCTATCACCAATCAAACCGACTATTTCTTCCGTCCAATCTTGATCAACTCTATGTAATGCTGTAACTTTTCCAACAAGTTCTCTAACAATTGTCCCTTCAATAACAAGTTCTCTAACAAAATGAAATAAGACACGAATATGCTTGGTTCAAGCATAATGAACTTTGTTCTTCGACAAACAAACATCACTCTAGCTATCACAAAACATCTTTACGTGTTCGTGAGAAATACCCAAGTCATTAACGAAACAATGCATCTAAATGTTTTTTTAAAGGCTTCAGTTACCATCATATATGCTTTGGTAGTAAACAATAAAACAGTAGTCTGTAATATTGAAAGCCAATAAACAGGTTCACTAGCCATAGTGAACAAATAACCGATAGTGAATCGACGCTTATTAATCTCCACAAGTCTCTTGGAAACAATTGACATGTCATCAAATATAAAAGATCAAATTGATGAACAAGCCATTAACGTGCGGTCTTCAAAATATCTATCTTGCTATCGTCGAATCAAATAAAATTTAAAACATAAAAATTTAATATTTTATATAAATATACTAGAAGTGAAAAATTAACAACACAGAAATGAATTTAATAATTAACACCATTGTTATAAAAAAAACCATAAACAAAAACTAAACATTGAATCAACACATTACTTTTGAAAACATTGAAAACACAATTTAGAAGCGGCAGGAAAAATGCCAATTGTGAACTTAAAGAACTTATTACCAAACAAATTTCAAACAATTCTGTTTATTGTTTTCTTCTAACAATAAAATGTTAATTTTACTGTTTATAGCAAAGCAGGACCTTAATTTTAACCTAAATTAAGAAGCAAATTCTATTTAAAAAGAAAAAATGGAAGTTTAGAGAACATAATAGAACATATGATGTCAAATAAATCTAATTTGTTTTTGAGAGTGTGTACTCTCATATTCTTTGGATTGCACTTCATAGTCGACGAAACGGATGCTAAAAAAGTGGTTGAAGTCGATGTAGACGACACCATTTGAGAAGAGGGATTGACGGACCAAATTGTACAGCATCCAAAAGGAATATCCATTTCTTCATCTAGATCAAGCCAACGAACATTATTTCACTTGACCCCTCCTCCACCCATCGTCCTTAGAATGTTATCGAAAGGCGTACCCATTCCTCCATCTGGGCTGAGTCAAAGGACGTCAGACTATCCACCTCCTCCACCGCGTGCATCATCTCACATTTTAAACAAACAATCTAAGATCAATTCTGGGATGTTACCAAAAGGCGTACTCGTTCCTCCGTCGGG